GCGTGCGACCAAGTTATTTGCGCGTGGTGCTGTTATGGCCGATAACCGGCTCTCGCGTGATTCCGCAGTACTCATAAATTAACTGCATGAGGCCAAATGATAATCAATATATATCTGCCTGTCTGAGTTATACTCTTGGTAAACCAGGGCACTGGAATAATTGTGCAGTGATTGCCATTTTGAGCGGCCTTCATTATAAATTAATCTCGTGTGATATTTAGGATGTATTGCTGTGGACTGTAAAACACTGCACGTGGACTATGCATTTGATTTGGTCGTATCAACTAAATGGGAGGTGCATGCTTGAGGAGATGCTTCCTTTGAATTACACTGAGACAGAAGAAAACAAATCAGAGATACTCTCTCATAGTGACAGTTAGTAAGTGTCAACGGGCTCGGGCAGGACACGGCACTTAGACGGGATGTATGTATCTACGATGTTGAAGTTCTTTCGCGCCGTACGTAGCCAACCGTGTTAATCGGAAATGCGGGGGAAAGACAACAATCTAAACACAAAAACCAGTTTGAAGGAAATGAGTTTTCAAACTAGATTTAAAAGTGCATAGCTCCAATGGCTTCCAATATCGGAATGTTGAAACTGTTCTTGAGATTAATAAAGCAAATCATGATGGATAATATTTGTATGCAAGGCCCATGCGTTGATCGGTTTGAAGGTACTTAATATTTTGTGAAGAGAAGAATGTATTTTGCTTATAATATCAACATTTGACAAATGTTGAATGGGCTCTTACATGAGTTTTCAATCTAGATTATTTAAAAGTGCATAGCTCCGGTGGCTTCCTAATTTCGGAAGGAAGAGCGTTCCAGACGGCCGCAGGAGCATATTGGAAAGCGGCGTGATGCGGTGAGCGTCTTTGTTCGATGGCCCAGCCACAAGCCGCTGCGAGGATGACCGGAGTTCACGTGATGGGTTATGCTCCTTGACGAGATCAGCCACGGTATTGTGGTTCATTTGTGGCAAGCACTTTGTGTGTAGTGAGCGCGACGTTATAAGCGATGATGACGGCCGATGGATAGGACCGGTGATGGAATGGGCGTCGAATGGGGGAAACAAATCCAAAAAGCCTCGGCCACCACACAGATGGGAGCGTTGAGATATATTCACGTGCAGGAGTGAGAGGGATGACAGTAGCTACTGGACTATGTGGGATGGTGACGGGAAAATACAAATAAGCCTCGGCAGCTCTGAATAAGAGACACTTTCGTGGCAACGAGCGTGGATTATTGCTCAACGAAAAGAGTTAGAAAATGTGATGGGTGATAACACCACTGCCCATCAATATGGGCTTGGCATTGCATTGATGGCTATTGCACAATATTGGTCAAATGCTTTAGGCACATGAAAATACTGTAGTTTATATCGGCAATGTATATTTATAACGCCTCACATAATCTTCGGAGGATACTAGTGGCAATTTCTAGGAATTAGAGGAATGACACTCAAGTTAACTCGTTTGGAAACGTTATACAGATGAACTGCAATATTCATTATGACATGCCGTGCCTGTGTTCCCTTAATTCATCAAGCCGGTGCCCATTGGTATTACGGTACTGAAATCGCATTATCTTTTGAGGAGTTCAGTTTTACTCATTGTTTTTTTTCGGTAAAGTCACGTATGTAGGAACACCATAAAACTATATAAAAACAAATCAATCACGACGTTTCGACCGCAACACAAGCGGTCCTCATCAGGTGTAAAAAAAAACACGGAGGTAAATACAACAAGAAGATGAGAGACGAGAATTCAACAAACATAAGAAAAAACATGTGATGCACAACCAGTCAGGTCAACAACACAGTTAGACACTTACCTGGTGGACCACGAATTTCAGAAGAGTGTTAAATTTCGTGTTCAACCTCTGGATTGAACATACCAGCATAGACAGAGTGAACAAATACGAGGTACAAAGTTCACAGAAATACAGATACAGGCCCACCAAGAGGCAAGGACGGACAGAGAAGAGAGGAAAAAGGAGTTGGATGAACAGAAGCCTTAAATAAGAAGTGAAGGTGGGGGGAGGGGCCAGAGACAAAGGGGGCACAGCAGCAGAAGCGGGGGAGGAGGAGGAAGCACGGGGCACACCACGTTTAGGACAGAATTGCAAATGTAACTTCCCCGTAGAAGTGTGTTAATAAAGAATGAAAGCTTTCGTGACTGCATAAATTACTCATTGTTTTTTTTCGGTAAAGTCACGTATGTATGTGACTTTACCGAAACGTCGTGATTGATTTGTTTTTATATAATTTTATGGTATTCCTACATACGTGACTTTACCGAAAAAAAACCAATGAGTAATTTATGCAGTCACGAAAGCTTTAATTCTTTATTGAGTGCAGTTTTATTTTTGGTTTTGGGGATTTATTTTTATTTTATTTTAATGAAACCGAGTTTATTTGACATTCACTTGCAGCAATTACAAACGTTGGGAACGTTGCGGCTGTGAGGCCAACACGCTGAGTCTTACTCTTGCGGATGAGGAAGCTGAGTCTTTCACTGAAATAAAAACTATGAACATTTTTTGTTTTGTTTTACCAGGTAAGGCCCACTTGAGCTACGATGTACAGTAGCTCTTTTTCAGAAGCGACCTGGCCATCACAAATAATAGCTCAGCTGTAAATGGATGATCACGTGGAACATTTACAGCAGCCAAATATTCTAAACGCGTGATGTTGATGCTAAATGGGGAGGGGATAAAACCGGAAAACCCGGATAAAAATCCACGTGACCACGGGGAGAACATGAAAACTTCAAATGTACAGGCGTCAGGGTCGGGATCGAGCCCACAAACTCCTGTATACCGGGCGAGATATTTAACTTTCCAGCTGACGGCGTACTTTAATAACCCCCCCCCCCCGCACAGAAATGATGGGATCACCAAGAAAATTCGAACCGTCAAGTTCGCGCAAACTGGCGAATGGCCCTCTGGTACGTGTCAACCCGCTTCACCCCCAGGCCACCATATATATACACACACACATTGGTGCGTTTAGATTGTGTGCAGAGATCACGCAAAACAGGTAAAGGCGCAGCCCTGCAAGTGCTTTCTCACACCACTGCTTGGAGGAAAAAACAGCAATCAACTTCGAGGACCACCCAAAGAGTGTGTTTCGGCCGACTATTCCGACGCTGGCTGAAGAGGTGGGGATACCCACACTCTACCTCGCCTCAAGTTGACCTGCAGATCGCCTGTGGCGTTCCCCGTGTACACTGCCGGGTGTGTTAACCTCTGACGCACAGCAACATCCCTTTTCACGACGTGTAATGCAATTTCATTAACATTGTGCGTGTATATTGCCGCACAATGGGCTCGCTGTAATTGCTAATTCGAGCGCGGCTATCTCTTCTAACGTCCGCTTTAACACTTAGCAATTGCGTGAATCCTCTACGTCGTATGGCTGATGTTGATGTACAACGACTATAATTTTACAGTGAGGTGAATGAGCCAGATGATGTCGTCAGGGGAAGCGGAGTTGGTGGTTTTCGCTGTGGTGATGCCTCATTTTTTCCATAATGCCATGTTCTTGTTGATTTCTTTCGTGTTAATGTCCCACAGAGAGTAACTGGAATCGGAACCGCTGCCTCGTGAGGCAATCTGGCTCATGCAGAATGTTCAGACAATCCTCCCCCCCCCATGCAATGCAACTGAATATATCATTCATGTGGGTGCTGTGATTGCTGCAGTGAGCATTCCCGGATTCGATTTAAAACATAATTGCCAACGTTGATGCTTATATTTCTCACGGAGAGGTAAACAATGGAGGTTCTGACTGCCTGACCTTTTTCGGGATTCTGTTCTTGCGTCTGGCAAAATGCTCAGAAGCTAAATGCTCATCCTGAGGCCTGCGAGCCACTTGATGGCTTCAGGAGAGAGTTTGTGTAGTTTTGGTTTTACAAAATGTTGGCCCATAGCTTTTGGTTGCATGGCCACAATCGCACTACTTTGTCGTTAATTTGTGACGAACTAAGGTTTCTATTTTAATCTGAAAGACACAATGGTTGGAGCCATGAGTGGCTCTCCACACAGCTGCTTACGACTTCATGATCGTCGTCGTGGTGGACTTTCACAGCCCACCCCCCCCAAAAATAAAACCTCCAACAACCGCGTTAGAAGAGCGCAGCGATTGTTATCTCGGTAAGTAAGCAGCACAACGCGTGCACGAATCAACCGCACGGCTGTTTGAGGTGACACGCGCGAACACGTGACCCGGCCGAACGTCCAGCGGACCCAACAACAGCCACATGCACCCCGCAAGTGCGAGAGTGCGAGGCGTCGTTGAAATGGAGGGCGGAGAGGAGGAATAGCAACAAAAATAACTCAGGGGTAAGCGGCGAGGGCACGACACGGCGATGAACAAGCTTTAAACAAATGCTTAGAGCAGTGGTTCTTTTTCTTCTTAACTTGGGGTGCGCGCTGTGCCCCCTGGGGGAGCGAGATGCCATTTCTGGGGCGTGCGAGACATGGGCGAATTTTTTTTCCGAAGGTAAATCGTCGAAAACACAAATTAAGCACGGGCACGTGAGTAACAACTTACTTTGTTTCATCAAACCGATGTGTATGAAGGGGCGCGAGGCTGTCGTAAAGGTTAAAAGCTAAACGGACCGCATAATGATCCGATCTGCCTTTGTAGATCTATAATGCACGCTGCCGCCGCTATCACCACCCTCCTGTGTGTGTGTGACGAAAAGCTGTAACAACAACACCAACATCTTTTCAATTGACAATTTAAAAGGTTGGTGGGGGGGGGGCTAAACTTTCAGTAAGGGGGGCCGGGGGAGCGGTGGAGTTGGTTTGGCTTCCGACCGAAAACAATCAGCGACCGACAAGCAGTGGTCAATTTCAACCGCGGTGAATCCGACGCAACGCTGTTCCGGATGATATCGAGCGAGAAGGGAAGCCCCCCCCGCCCCCCACGAAAATCACCGTCACACGTTGGGGGACAGATCGCCGACACCTGGGCCCCCGCCCCTCCCCTTTACCTTTGAGGATGAGCGGATCACGGCCTTCCTTGCGGAGCGACTCGATCACCAGGTGGAGCGGCTGCGAGGTCTGGACGCACGCTGGCTCGCTCGTCGCCTCGTCGTACACCACGATGTCTCCCCGCCCCTTGCCGAATTGCGCGCCTCCTCCTCCTCCTCCACCGCCACCACCACCGCCGCCCCGCGCGCTCAGCAGGTCCAGCACCGTGATCTTGCCCTGCTGCAGCCGCCTCCTGCTGATCTTGTCCGTGCAGTTGATGTGCACGGCGCCGCGGATGTGGCTCTTGTTGAACTCGATGAAGGGCCTGCAGTCGATGATCACGGGTCCCCCGGCTCCTCCGACCTCGACGCCGTCGTCGTCGTCGCCCCGCGTCTGCTCGAAGCACCTGGCTCCCGCTCGGCGCTTCTCCTGCTGCTGCTGCTGCTGATGGTGGTGCTGCTGCTGCTGCTGGTGATGGCTCCGCCTGTTCAAAGCCGTGGCCCTCGCGATTCTCTTGGCCAGTTCGTTCGGCCAGATGGTGCGCACCGCCAAGGCTCCCGGCTGCTCCGCTTGGGAGGAGGGGGAAGAGGAGGAGGAGGAGGAGGACGAGGACACTGTCGACGACGTCTTGGTCGGGGTGGTCGTCGACGACGACGAAGCCGAAGACGCCGATGACGCGGCCGCGGACGAGGCGGACGAATTGCGGTGGGCGAGCGGCGGCTGATGGTCGGAGATGGCCCCGCTCGCGTTGCTGCTGCTGCTGCTGCTGGTGCCCTTGCCGTCCTGCGCCAGCTTGGAAGACAGCGAGCCTTTGGAGGCACCGACCACCGAGCTCCCGACTCGAGCGGCTCCGATGCCATGCTGCTGTTGCTGCTGCTGCTGCGAGTCCCGTAGGAGGCGAGAGCACGACGGGCAGATGTTGATCTGCTGCTGGTCCAATGCTCTACCACCCTCAGGTCCATAGTGTCCACTCGTGGACGGCAAGAAGGCCAAAACGCCCGGCTGCTGCTGCTGCTGCTGCTGTTGATGGTGATGATGATAATGAAGATGATTGTGTTGCTGCTGTTGCTGATGCTGCAGCTGCTGCTGATGCTGGTGGTGTTGAAACAGGTGCTGATGCTGGAGACGATGGTGATGGTGGTGATCCTGCTGCTGCTGCTGCAGCTGCTGCTGCTGTTGAAGTTGCTGCTGCTGCTGCTGATGGTGGTGGTGGTGATGATGATGGAATCCCAGCCCCGGGCGTCCGGACGGTACCACAGCTACGGCTGCACTGGCTGAGCGCTCCACGCACGACGTCGCGTTGGGGGTGCTGCCGCCTCCGGCGCAACAGCTGCTGGGGCCGCCGCATCCACAGGACAGCGAGCGAATGGGACCTCCCCTCCTGGTGGCGGGCATATACCGCGTGTAGCTGACGCTGATCTGCCTCGCCTGGCAGTGGACCGTGGTGGTGGTGGTGGTTGTGGTGGTGGTGCAGAAGATGGTGGAGTTGATGGAGCGCTGCTCGTCACCTGGCGTGGGACAGCTATCGCCAAGCTCCTGGAGTTGCCGGCGAATGTCTGCTGCTGCTGCTGTTAGTAGTGATGTTGCTTCTGGAGTTGCTGCTGATATTGATGCTGCCGCTGCTGTAGCGGCGTTCGAGTGGACCGCGAGGATGCGACGACGAGACGTGCGCTTGAATCTCAGCTGCTGCTGGGTCGCCAGCGTTTGAGATGTGAGCACGGTTCTGCTGTTGACGCTGCTGCTTTTCCTGCTGCTGCTGTTGCTTGTCCTGCTGCTGCTGCTGCTCGTCCTGCTGCTGTTGCTGCTGCTTGTGATCACGCTCCCGCTGCCGCTGCTGGTGATGCTGATGAAGCTGCTAATGGCGCTGTACGAAGAGACGGCCACCAGAAGGCGTCCGTCCAGTGGAGACGGAGGCATCACAGTGCCGCTTACGGGGGATGACCGGGGCGAGTAAGTGGGGTTACGCTGCAGGGAGTGGTGGTGGTGGTGGTGGGGGGGGGTCTGGCTATGCGGTTGGGGAGGGATGGGGAGGGAGGAGGGGGGTGCTTGCTGCCGTGAGCGGCGGGGCGGGCGGATGCGCGCTGTGGGTCTGGGGCGCCTCGGACATCAGATCGGAGCCGGGAAACTGGCAGGGAGACGGGCTGTGGGGAGATGGGATGGAGAGTGTGCGGGGAGAGAGAAATACGTTTTAAAAGTAGAGGATTTGAGCGAGGAGGATGGGGAGGGTGAAGAGGACGCGAAGTTACGGGGTGAGAGAGGTGTGGAGAGGAAAGCGAGCGGGGTAGATTGGACAAAGACGGCGTGTAGTGTGAAGAGTGGGACGCAAGCACAGCGAGTGGCGGGCCACGGAAGGGGAAAGGAGAGACAGAGGGGAGAGAGACGCAGCGACGTTCGGGACAGTGGACATCCAGATATGTGAGTAAAGGATGAAGGGGAAGGATGAGCGAGAGAGAGAGAGACGTGGACACAGATTATACAAACATTTTGAACCGTGGACATTAAGGAATGAATACGATTAATGTTCGGGAAGGGTGGAGAGAGAGAGAGGAGAGAGATACACAGACGTTTGGAAGCGCGGACAGACAGAATCCGCGGCGAGGAGAGAGATAAGAGAGAAAGAGTTGAGGCGTGGGTGATGATTACAGAATGAAGACAAATACGGAGGCGAGGAAACTGCGGCCGAGGGGCAGCGTGCGCCCACCCAGAGCCTCTTCCCCGTACACAACAGCTGCTGATCTCAACAGCCCCGCGGTCGTATTGGGGCGGGGGGGGGGTCCTTTTAGCGCGTTGGTCGTGGGGGGGAGGTGGGGGTGGGTGGAGGAGGGGGGGGGCTGGATGGATGGAACCGAGGGGATATGCACCAGAGAAGGGGGGGGGGGGGGTCTACGTGGATGGAGTTGCGAAGGGAGCTCTGGGCGCTAACTAATTTGAGCTTGGATAGAGGAGCGGCGCTTATAGCCAACTGAGTAGGCAGCGCAAGCATTCGGAGCTGCGTATAACTCCCCCCCCCCCACTCTTGGGATGCGCGTGTCCGATTAATACCATATTTAACGGCGGGGGTGGGGGGATTTCCTTTATCGCTTCGAAATAGCTTAGCTTCCATAATACAGAGGGGTTTTTTGGCGGTGGAGTTACATCGCGTAAATATACACGTGTGTCGTTAACCCACCAAACCCACCCGATGCAGCCAATTAGTAAGGGGTTGTCACGTGAACTGAACTCGCCCATTAGTTTCGACTTCAGCACGCCGCCTGGGTGCTACGTCGAGTAAAACCCACGACGTTTACAATTAAAAGCGCGAAGTTTTCGCTGTCGATTATAGCGGGCTTCATCGAGCGTTCTTGCCAGAGTTGACAATCACCGGGGAAACGTGGGTGCATTGTAAATGTTCGTGGGTCTTACTCTCCAACACACAACCGGTGCGCTCGACTAGTAACTTAATCGGCACGTTTTGTTTCGCGTGAGAAACCTTACTAATTGGTCGTGTCGGGTGGTGGTGGTGGTGGGTTAACGACACATATCTACGCGGTCTAACCCAAACAAAAAACACCTTTTTGTGATTAATATTGTTCGCGAAAGCCATACTCGTGTTAAACTTCGCTTCCTCCTCACCACCCCATGCACCAACCCCGCTTCCTCTCTGTGACACGAGGTTTTTAGTCGAAGAGCGAAACCGGACGGCTAATAAGGTGGCCTTTATTTACGTATGAAACGAGTTACTCGTATCCGCGGCAGTCATGTGCCATCTGTTCACATTGGTGCGCGACTGCACAGGCTGGGTTGGTGGTGGCTGTGTCTGCTACGGTTCGTGTCGAAGTTTATCGTCGTCGTCGTCATCATCGTCCCGAATCTCAGTGTCGTTGTTGTTGCCATTCAGGGGTTCTCGAGTCATCGGGGTGCAGTCATCAGTGGATATTCCACATCCGTATGGCGAGAGCCAGTCTATCTTCGGACCACTGCTGTTACACATCTAAATATATACACACTGTATATACACAGAATGTTTCGCGTATATTTGACTATGTTTGGTAACGCAAAATGTGTAAATAGAAATGACCGAACATAATTCACTGACGGACAAAATACATTCCGCGTCCAATTATGCGGTTTTAAATGAACTTTATTGCACTGATAATCCAGTATTCGAAGCAGCAATGTATTTTGTATTGTACTGAGTATGTTTGTGCCCTGCTGCAAAGAGCGGTGGCGCAGCGGTTAGCGCGTTTCGCCAAGAACCCAGAATGCACCATGACAAAGTTTCATTCGCGTCGAGGTGCTGAACGTGGCACGAGTTAATATCTGAAGCAGTGCTGCCCACCGATCCCACCTCGATCTCGCCAACCCGCAAATATTCTTTACGTGCGCATCTCTCCTGTGCCTCTCTTAAGTCGACTCAGCCTAAAATAAACCACCAGATATGCAATGTCCACGTGGAAAAAAAAATGGCAAACATCGTTGGTTGACCGCGCCCGTCACACGTCGTGCTGCGCTTTTACGATGGCAATGGCTCTGCCAGAGGCTACACGCGGAGATTCTGCCTTTTCGTATTTATGCACACGTTGTAGGCATGGATACAAGTCTCTGGTAACGCACTGTTGGATTAAGGCTCCATCTCCCCGGCAATGGGGAGGATGGCGGCGGCGGGGGGGGGAGTTTGACCACCACGCTAGTCAATGCGAGTGGTGCAGTGTTATACAAATGGGTATTTTACGGTGTCACCGTTTAAAACCTATTGGAGACATACGGTCCAGGAGGAGTACTGTATCTTAATCCTAGAAAGGGTTCCCCTGTAATGAATTCGCCAATTAACGAATGTAAATATACATGCAACTTTACGCTAATGATAACCTTTCGTCAGAAATGGCATCGAGCGTGGCCTATTAGTGTCTTTAAATAATGTCTAATTGAAATGATGAAGGCGGTAGGTATAAATGATGAACCCGCTAAACATGGGTAGCCTATTATTATGAAAGGCGTTATGAATCACGCATGGTTGTTTTTTTTTACACGCTCCACAAAGACGAGGATCACCCGTCTAGCCGTCGTCCGACGATTGGGAGCAAGTGCTGTTAGCGAGCACCAATGAAGGCCGGCATAGCGCACACGGGGGTGTGGATTCCTGCAGTCACGAAAGCTTCAAATCAAGATTCACACGGGGGTGGCTGAATAACACCACGTCCTATCGCCTTTGTCCCCAGTGCTGATGTTTACACACCTCGCCAAGCACTCATTTAAGGCTGAGTTTCAACCTAGCGGAGGCCCGGTGGCCGCTTCAATTAAAATGACCTATTTTTTGGGGTCGTGAATGGGAATCCATCTCAGGTGGTCGGGTTCGTAGCACACTGCGCTAACCGCTGCACCACCGCTCCCACAACTCACGCTCGCTCCCCACACGCTCCACACCAAAGACAAATACCCCCCGTATAGCCTCCCTTACTTGACTGTTGAGGCAAGTGCTGTTAACGAGCACCTTGTTAAGGCCGGTACGGCACACTAGGGGGTGGGTGGACAGTAACACGCACGGCCGCCTTTATCTCCCTCGAGGCGATGTTTTACACACCGCGCCAGGTACTCATTGAGACTGAGTCGACGGCCCAGGACCGTTTCATATAATCGTCACTGGTGTTGGCCGTGAGCGGGAACAGAACTTGGGTCTTCGGGTTCGTAGCGCACACAAGCTAACCAATGCACACCCTCCACACCACATGAGTAATGAACATGAGTAATGATGCAATGCTGTAAGCGGGACAAATGTGCGCGCATGAATAAGCTCTCGCCTCGATCGCTCGCGCGCTCTCTCCCGCACGTGCCAGATGATGATGACTGATCTGGCGCGCTGCCAACTTCCACTGAGGCAACGTCACAAGCCTCTGGTCAAAGAGAGAGCGCAGAACCCACGCAAGCAGAATTAACGCAAACCTAACGCATTCTTCAATAACATTGTGGCCTCAAAGGAAAGACATAAATAATAGGCGACGTTTCGGCCCCACCGAAGGATCGTAACCTTATCGTGGTGGCAGTGCCGGATTAAGCTAGTGCGGGGCCTGTAGCATATGTTTTAAAGGGGTCCTAAATAACAAAATAACACAAATATTAAAACACTATATTTTTACTTGCATAGTAAAGTGATTGTATTTTTCCATTAGTTATACAGGCAAATAACACCCAGTCGTTCATAAAAGTTGAAGGCAGTATAGTACTATAGTAATAGAGCAAGTTCAGAATCACTGAACCGGAATTGATAGCTTGAAAGCATTTGGCACGGCGCCCTTGAAAGTGCGGGGCAAGTAGCATATGTAGCTACTTTTGTTACTAGGGTAATCCGGCACTACGTGGTGACGGGGTTTATGTGTTCCAATGACCCTCAGAGCGATGTCGCCTGGAGCCTTGTGCTCCTGATATAGTCTCCCTTGCCAAACAGGTCTGGGAGGAGGTTCCAGTCAAATAACGGTATAAACAAAAGCCCTTATGAATTGTTCTGAAATATAAAAAATGAGAACCTCACCCGGACAAGGTATACCGTGACCTCGCCCTGCAGCCAGACCTGGGGGTGGTGTTCGCCGGCTAGCGCCTGGTGGCTGGGTGACCCCACGTAACCTGGTCGAGCCCAGCCCCGAAATGGCTACGTGGCGCCGTCGTGTGTGCCCACCATCCGCAGGATGATTGGTGAGGTGCGAAAGCGATGCCACTATGGCAGGGAGACGCATGGTCTCCGACAGACTGGACCTTGGCAATGGACACAGGCAATTGTGACGTGCAATGGCGCGTCACGGGGGGGGAAGGAGCTGGAACTGGTGGAGGAGGTGGAAAGGTATAGACTGGATATAGTCGGTCTCATCTACACACACAGCATTGGCACTGGAACCAAATTTCTCGATCGTGGGTGGTCTCTCTCCTATTCCAGAGGAGAGAGACCACCCACAAATAGCAGTTCAGAGTATTTGGCCTTTTTGGAGACGATGGGTGCAGTGCTCGACAGAGTGCCGCCTACCAACTCCATAGTCTTACTGGGCGACTTAATTGTTGATGTGGGAAATCATGGAGATACCTGGAGAGGCGTGATTGGGAGGAATGCCCCCCCTGATTTGAGCTCGGATGGTGAGATGTTATTGGAATTCTGCGCTAGTCA